TTCTGGTCAGAGCTCCAGAGATCAGAAGGCTGATAGAAAGCCTCATGGTAAAGACCAGGCTTGTGAGGTTTCAGCTAGGGAGAAGGACTGCATTGGTCATTGAACTCCACATGATGTGTGTTATGGCTTGGCAGAAAGTTTGTCTGAATTTGCTCCTGCCCAGAGACTTTGCCTGAGACTGAGACAAAGGGCAATGGACTGATTAATCTTGAAAGAGAAATTAAAAAGCAATCAAATGTTGAGGCTGTGGCATGGCTATTGTCGGCGGCTTTTAGCGAGCTTTATGTTTCCAATCAAGAGCAAAGAGCCCAGCAAGATAATTTCCAATGGTGTGAGTTTGGCCTGAAGGAAAATTCCAGGGAAGGTGTGGATTGTAAAGACAGAGTTGAGATTTTGATTCCTGAGGAGAAACAGACAGTTAAGAAAGATGGCCCCAGGGCATCCCAGGAAGCAGGTCCCCACCCTGTGCAGACTCACCGCAAAGGTGAAAGTATTTACTCAGAGGGAAAAGCTGCAGAGTGCCATGTTCCAGAATGGCGACAGAGGCCACGTGAGGTTCCACAATGGCGGCAACACAGAGAAGCTTTTCATCACAATCAGGTAAACAGAGCCCTGCAATCCAGGCAACTGACCCCTACAGCCAAGAGAGAGAAATGCCTGGCTACTGCTTCAGCTAGCAGCAAACCTTGGCGGCATCCACAAGGTGCTGATTTTAGGTGCAAGGAAAATGCACAAATTCTGAGGGTAAGAAGGCTTCCACCTCAATTGCAAAGGGCCCAGCTGACCATGCAGTGTGCCCCTGAGAGGGCAATTTGTGAAGATTTAAGGGTGAAGCTGAAGGTGCAGTCGAGACCCCAGAAGTTTGGAAAAGCCAGGAACGTGGATGATCCAAGGAAAGCTGCAAAAAGCGAGCAGAGAGGATTTAAGAGAAAAGCTATGGGAGTTGAAATCACTGGAAGTGCCCTGGGGGTGGAATCACCCTTTTGGAACTGGCAACCAGATTGCTTCAGATGCTGAGTGTAGAACTCTAGGACTTAATGTTTGCCCTGCTGGATGTTGGAATTGCTTTGTTTCGAATGCTTTCTATTCTCCTATTTGTAACTTTTGGAGAATGGAAATGTTTGTCTTGTGCCTTTGCATTTCAGAAATGTTTAACCTTGTTTCTTTTGTACAGGGGCTTACAGTTAAGAGTTTGCCATAGATCTTGGAGGAGACTTGGGACTTGGACTTTTCAGCAATGTTGAAGCTGTTAGGACTTTGGCAACTCTTGGAGGTGGACTAAATGTCTTTTGTATAAAGGATGTACATGAGTCCTGGGGGCCAGGGGTGGAATGTCATGGTTTATGTTTGTGTCCCCCAGGCCTCATGAGTTTGCATTGTTCATTTGTGATGGTTCATTGTATAGTGCTTGGATTGATGTCAGTGCTCCACCCACATAGGGGTGGAGCCAGGATGTGATGTAATGGCAGGAAGAAGGGGTGTCTTTCTCTTTGCTGGTTCGAGCTTGCCATTTGCAGCTGCCATGAACGGTGGTCCAGCCATGCCCGCCTGCCTTGGAGCCAACTGAGTGTGGACTGAAACCTCCAAAAACTGTAAGAAATAAACCTTTCCTTTCCCAACTTTGGGCTTCAGGTATTTTGTCTCAGTGACGATCATAAAATAACTAAGACAATAACCATGGACTCTAAGCCATAAATAACCACAGACTCTAAGCCATAAAAGGTGAAGGAGACCTTCCTTGGGGCAAAAAATGAATGCAGGAGGTATCCAGGCCTGTTACACCAGCAGCCATAGTTCTGGAGCCACAGTAGGGGATGGAATCTTCTCCAGGTTCTGCTGGATGAGCATAGATGATACTGGGACCTATGGCACCAGTAGCCATTGACTCGAGGTTGTGGAACACAGAGGATACTTTCCCTAAGTCCCATGAGGTGCTCGTGGGTGATGCTGGGGCTTGTGGTACTCTCAGCCACTTTCCTAGACCCATGGAACCCCTGTGGTGCCTTCTCTAGCTCCTAAGGTACAAGAACAAATAACAACCAGGGCTTTTTGCACCAGCTTCTAGGGTTCCAATTCTGTAGGCCATGAAGACCTGCTCTAGGTTCCCCTGGCCTGCAGTTAACATTTGGGCTAATGGCACTGGTATTAGACTCCTGGAGGTGTACCATGTGCAGATCTCCCCTATGCCCTGTTGGTCAAATGCAGGTGGCAAAAGAGCTTGTGACTTTGTTATCTGCAGTCCCAGAGTTGCAGGACAAGGATGTTGCTAGATCACACAGAGCAAGTTCTGATGGGACCAAGGTTTATCACATTGGTAGTCATGATCCTGGAGCTTCAGGATGCAGATGGAACCTTCCCCAGGGACTCTAGGTACAGACTGGGGAGTTCCAGGGCTCTTTGGATGAGCAGCAGCAATCTGGAGGCTGAGCCTGAGGAGAGGACTTTCCAAGTTGTGCAAAGTGATCACAGGTCACGCTGAGGTCTGAGTCCCTGATAGCTTTGTTTTTGGAGCTGTGACACACTTGAGACTTTCTCCAGTTCCAAGGGACAGGCACAGGTGATGCTGGGCTTTTAGCATCAACAGCCACAGTCTCAGTAGATTAAAAAAGGAGACCTTTCTTAGTTCCCCCAGAGTGAGTGCAGATGTTTTCAGGGGTGGAGCCTGCTAGAAACTACACTCCTACAACTGTGGGAAAGAACTAGGACTTTAGCCAGGTCTTAAAGGACAGGTGCATCTGAAGCCCAGATACACAATACACAATTTATAGCATGTAATTTCATTTTACCTGTCTTTAGACTTTTATAATTTATATAATTATAAACTTATATATGGCTTCATTTGTTTACATATTTATTCATTGTCTTATTGAGACAAGGTTTCACTCTGCAGTTATAGCTGGCCTTGAATGCATTTTGTAGCCCAGGCTGGTCTTCAACTCATGGCGATCCTCCTCCCTCAGTCTCCTGAGTCCTGGGATTACAGGTATGTGCCATCACACCCAGCATGTGGCTTCTTTTATTTGATTTCAATTTTCCTCCATGTTATTTTTTCCCTTATACTCCATGTTATTGTGCAAAGCCATAGTACATTTCTTTCCATTGTTCCACAGCAGTATTTTTGTGTATCTTACAATTCACTAATGATTCTACTATCCTACCCTTTTATTTTAGGGAATAATATAAACAGTGTCAGTAATGTCCATAATAGACATGCATGTATTCTAGGACACACATTTAGAAATAGAATGCCAGGTAATGAGATAGGCAAAGTGTAAATTTGACTAGAATATAACAAACTGTATTTCAAAATGATGCACCAATTTAGTTTCAAAGTAGGATAGGGATCTCTAGCACAATATATTCTCAACAACACTGGGTATTGTGAGTCTTACATGTTTCCAGAGCTGTGAATATGCAGTGATAGAATTTGCATTTCTCTGAATACTAGTGAGTTCACCAGTGATCTGAATTACATTTTAAAAGAATCTCTCTACCTGCAGAGTAGAGAAGAGGCTTTTAAGGGAGTCGGGGTGAAAGCAGAAACAAGTCAATGATTTATGCAATTGTCTGGGAGGGAACTGACAATGACCTGCGCTATTCTGGAGGGCTGAAGATGCTGGCCACAGATCACATTCTGGATATGTGTTGAAGATGGACAATGAGAATCTGCCAGTGAAATGATCTGTAGTGTAAAACCCTTTTAGAAACACTTTTGTCTCTAGGTTTTCTTGGACAGAGCTCTCTTTTGCTAGTATACTTGTCTTACTGAATATGTCCCCTCTGACCTCCTTCCAGAATCTTAGTAACATATACACACAGAACATCTCAGAACCAAGGCTTCATCCAGTCCTCCGATCCCTTCTCCAGTCGTGCTTGTTCTCTAAGCAGTAATACCAGCCCCCTTGCTTGATATATCAACTATGCATAGAAAGCTCTCAAATATATACCCCTGCAGACTCATCTCCAAAACTCCTGACCCAGGTATCTCACTGCCCAGAGGACATACCCCTTGGGGGCCCAGCAGATGTCACAGTGAGTATATAAACATGTTCAACGCTTGTGCTTTCCACACTCACCCCCATCTTGGTAAATGGCTGCTACAAGAGTGCAGAGCCCTAGAATCCTCCTTTTCTGTCACAACTGTACATTTGCTCTATCAGAAAATCCTTTTGGTTTTGCTCAAAATACCCAGATTCCAGGTTGTTTTTGCCATTACCACTTCAACTGCTGACTAAAGTTCCCAACAGCTCTTGCTCGGCAAATCACAAGAATTGCTAAGGACTCACTGCTTCTATAATTAAGTGCATACTTTAAAGATACTTTAATCCTTGTTTGCTACACAATGCAGAAGTTTCTTGGTAAAAGTCAGTGTCTACTTGAAGGGCTTTGGTTTCAATAGCCACTAAGAAAGAGGTTATATTCTGGGCAATTAAAAATGTATCTCAGGCTGGCCTTGAACTCACAGTGATTTCTGGCTTGCCTCTTGAGTGCTGGGATTGCAGGCATGTGCCACACCCAGCTGGCTCTTTTGCCTGTCTTTTCTCATATACAAGTTGGAGTTTTCACAGAGAACTTGGGAAGATTAAGACTTTAAATGTAAAATATTTAACATGCCACAAAAAGCGTAATATTATACTCTAATAGAATGATTGCTCTGTGTTTGCTTTAGTAACCACTGCATCACAGTTCTGTTAAACATAGATATTCCTATAGAATATCAAATTCAATAAAAAATATTAACAGAAAATAAAATGAATACTTCAAATATGAACTCAACGCTATGCCAAGGGTTTCCTGCCTAGGTTAGCTGCCTTCCCCCAGGCACTCACACTGGTGTGTTAGATACCTACCCATGGATAGATCTGACCCCTTACAGAGAAGCTCAAAATAAAGGAACCTCAGGTACTAGGCTCCTTGGAGTCTGGAATGTTGCCTTACCTGGGGAAAGGAAAAAAAACTTTTAATTATTAAAAAATTACCAATACTTCATAAACAGAAACTGACAGAGCAAAATAGTGTATTCAAGTCACGAGTAACATTGGTAATAAAACAATTATGATTGGGATGAGTAACCCAGTTATAGCGGTACAGGCACAGATAAAACATTATGTCAGTAAGGATGGAAGATGGCATACTCTGAAGCTCAGTTTCAGGTGACTCAAAATTGGCCCTGTTGATATAAAACATTGATAGCAGTGATCCATGAAAAGAGCTTAAATAAAATAGTTTCATGAAAAGTAAAAAGGCAAAAATACAGAGTATTTTATGTATGACCTCATATATGAAAATATAGCCAATTTTATTGTTATATATTTCAATGTATATTTAAAATGGGATAATGTCTCTCCTCCATTAGTAAGATATAGTTCAGTCAAAGCCACTGCAATTGTTAGTTCACATTTGGTTCTCTAAGGTGTTGTAGTGTACTGGCTTCATTCTCCATTAAAATACTACCTCTGGGTTTTCATGCTCTTCACTTGCTTCTTCTTTTGATTGCCCTTCACTTGCTGCTTCTTTTGGTGCAGGCTTTCCTGCAGCTTTGGGTGTAGAGCCAATGTTGGTGGTGGGGGGGACTCAGGTGGAGCTGGCGGGGTCTTGGGTGGTGAAGGTGGCGGGGCCTTGGGTGGTGGAGGTGGTGGGGTCTTGAGTAGTGGAGGTGGCGGGCCCTCTGGTGGTGGTAATGGTGATGGTGGCGGGGCCTTGGGTGGTGGTAATGGTGGAGGTGGCGGGGCCTCGGGTGGTGGGGCCTTGGGTGGTGGTAACGGTGGTGATGGCGGGCCCTCAGGTGGTGGAGCCTTAGGTCGTGGTAATGGTGGTGGTGGCGGGGCCTTGGGTGGTGGTAACGGTGGTGATGGCGGGCCCTCGGGTGGTGGAGCCTTGGGTGGTGGTAATGGTGGTGGTGGCGGGGCCTTAGGTGGTGGGGCCTTGGGTGGTGGTAGTGGTGAAGGTGATGGGGCCTTGGGTGATGGGGCCTTGGGTGGTGGTAATGGTAGAGGTGGTGGGGCCTTGAGTGGTGGTAATGGTGGTGGTGGTGGCAGGGCCTTGGGTGGTGGGGCCTTGGGTGGTGGTAATGGTGGTGGTGGCGGGGCCTTGGGTGGTGGTAATGGTGATGGTGGTGGGGCCTTGGGTGGTAGTAATGGTGGTGATGGTGGCGGGGCCTTGGGTGGTGGTAATGGTGGTGATGGTGGCGGGGCCTTGGGTGGTGGTAATGGTGGTGATGGTGGCGGGGCCTTGGGTGGTGGTAATGGTGGTGATGGTGGGGCCTTGGGTGGTGGTAATGGTGATGGTGGTGGGGCCTTGGGTGATGGTAATGGTGGTGATGGTGGCGGGGCCTTGGGTGGTGGTAATGGTGGAGGTGGCGGGGCCTTGAGTGGTGGTAATGGTGGAGGTGGCAGAGCCTCTTTGGGTGGCAGTGCTGCTTCCAGTGGCAGGGCCCCTTTGAGTCCTTTTTTGGGTGGTGGTTTTTTGAGTTGTGAGGTCTCAACTGATACCTCTAATGAGATTTCTGAAGAATCTGATGATTCTGATGATTCTGATGAATCTGAATCCTCTGATGCCTCCATCTCTACATCAGACCAAAGAAGACCCATTAGAAGTAGACAACACAGTAAAGCAATAAGTAATGAAGGGATTACGAGCATTACCACTTTGATGTTCAAGTTTCTAGGCCAATTAGCAAAATAAGGGGTACTTGTACTTATTTTTTTCTCAGGTGACTTAACAATAGGACCACTGTCCATACTGCCCCCATATCCTGGACGTACACAGTAAGGGGGTGCAAATCCGTCATCACAATGGCAGTGTTTTAAATTATTGCATACTCCATTCCCATGACACAGTAACTCTGTATCACACTCTTGGTGGGACACAGAATATTCACGGCAGATATAATCAATGCATAATTTATCTGGGGCACAGTGTCTGCCATTTTCCACGTAACCAATGGTGTTGTAAGTATCCAGGCTCCAGCACCAGTCATCTTCATGTGGGCGCTGGATCAGTGTGTAATCCAACAACAGTAGTGGCAGGACTTTAACATCTGTGCATACAAGTTTCCCGCAAAATACATCATCACCACTACAACGAATGTATTCTGGATTAGCCTTACTGGGAAGGCCACAGTGTCCGAACCGGTTCCCTTCATGGTTTACTGACATGTAACAGTCCTCTGGGGCAGACCTTGCAGGATACCCAAATAGCCTCATGCACTGTCTGTCAGGGTCCTTACACTGACCCCCAAAGCAAAAGTAAGTTCTACGACACAGTGTGCCATCTTCTTTGTAGCTGTCTTGAGGACATTCTGCAGAAGTACCATCACAGTATTCTGAGAGGTCACATTCATCATAAGCAAAACGACATATGTCCCCCTCCTTTTTAAAATTACAGTTGTTGCAGCAGAGTCCATGACTACACTCTGCATCCTTCTTCAGTATACATGTTGGTTCACAGCATGGGTCTTTGTCACAAGCAGAACCACAGTCACACTGCTCCTGGTCCTCCACCACACCATTTCCACACGTGGCAGCCCTGCGCCTGCGAGCTTTGTGCCACGGCTTGTTAAATAGGCAGGCCCCTCTGTGTTCATGAAGGAAATGGTAGAAGTAGTCAGAGCTGCAGTTGCTGAAGCCACTTTCTTCAGTGATATTTTCCTGCATGAGACAGGAGTGCTTATCTCTACAGACGCAGGCCGAGTGGTCATGCCGAATACCCAGGTTGTGCCCTAGCTCGTGCACCAGGAGCGCTGCAGACAGGAGGGCATCTTCGTGGTGGAAAGCTTCGACAGCCGCTGCAAAACCACTTGAACAGGCTCCATTCAGAAATGCCTGACCTGAGGTCTCTCCAGGGTGATGCCCAACGATCATGTGGGCAACGTCGTGCCTCACACGAGGCAAGAGCTTGTCTTGTCTCCAGCGATTGAAGTTCCTGAGTGTAACTCGCAGGTCCACTGGGACCTCTATCAGGTCCCCCTCGGTCCAGACCTCCACCCCAGCCAGTACCACCTCTGTGTTTATTCCTCGAGTAAAGATGTTGGCCAGGGCAATGATGTCCACCACTCTCTGCACTGTCTCGTTGACATCGCTGCCCCACATCTGGAACCGCTGGTTGTTGACCACGACAAACATCTCCACGTACTTGGTGTGCACCCACAGGTAGGAGGACAGTGCCTGTACACTGTGAGGCTTCCTGCTGCCTTGCTGCCAGCTGGTGGACACCGCCTGGCTGTCTTTGGCAGAGGCTCTGCAGGAGACTGGAGCTTGACGTGCCATGGTGTATAACACATGCTCAAACCGCTGGGAGGAGAGTATGGGCTCAATGCCATAGGATGTGTTCTCCTTAATCAGGATGCCCCTGAGACCTGAACAGGCACTGACAGACACAAAAGAACTCGACGCTCCTTCTATGTAGCCTTCATAGTGACAGTCGCGTGCGATGGAGGGTGTTTCTTGCCGTACGTTGCCATTGTGGTAAGAATAGACTGGAAAATCATCCACGAAATAGTCTCTCTTTACCTTCAGGTGGATCAGCTGCTTGTGGCCTTGTATAAGTAGCATATAAGATGTCCTTCCCCCCGGGTCTTGGCTTCCCTTGACTGTCAGGCTCTCGGGAATGACTATTTCGTAGGAAGAGTAATGGACTAATTCTAAACAATACATGCTGGGTAGAAGCATTGCCAACAGCATGAAGGTCCTTAACACAAAACATGAAGGTCTTGGTACTGGCCTTAGCCTCCATATCCACTTTGGGGCATACCAAACCTGAAACTTCATCTTAGCTTCTTCCAAAGCCACTTGCCTTTTCTGTAAAGAAAGTAGAATGGTGGTAGTCTCTCAGCGATGCTGCCACCAACATGGTCCTACCTAGATAACACAAGTCTATACCTATCAGCAATTGCTCTCTGACAAGTGACTTTGAGAGACTAGGGTATTATCTACAGATCTATGCTGGTTCCTTCATGGTGGTTGCTGTCCAACTCTGAATCTTGGGGCCTTCGGGCTGTTTCTCTTCTTGCTTCTCTCTCGGCCTTCAGTAGTATCTATAGTATAGGAAATTTCAACAGCAATTTTTCTTGGCTAAATTTCTTTGATGACTCAGATAGAAGACCTGTGTGATTCACAGGTAGTTTAATGTAGGCAAATTATCCTTTATTCTCCCCAGATCACAGAACTCCTAATATTTGTTAATCTGTTCATTCTTTGAAACCCAACATTCTGAAGGGGTTTGGGGGGAGGGGAGGGGGATTCTCTAGGGATCTCTGAAGAAGGCAGAGTTCTCTGTTGCTACTTTTTTCTTCCTTTAGTATTCAGGGTACCATTTCTCAGTTCAATCCTTCTTTGTCCATGAACTTTTTCCCTTTTAATTCAAGAAAAACTGTATGTGGACAGCCTTTGGCTGTCCCCAATATCCTTTGTTCATAAGAAATGTTTTGACATCTTATATCTGCCTATAAATACAGTTCTTCTCTACCAACTACTTTTCCTAAGAAATAGACGTGTTACATGAAATTATCTTTAAGAAAAATTATCTTATTTCAATGTGAAAATATGGAAGGGAACAAAATTCAGTTCTTCCCAACTGCTTCAATGTAATAACAAAATGTAGGATAGAAACAGATTTTTCAAGCTCTGATTAATCAGTTATCTAGTTACCATTTCATCAAGAAAATAAAATGGGCTTTTGTTTGTTTGTTGTCTTTTTGAGACAGGGTCTCAAAATTGCAGTCCAGGCTAGCCCTGGGCTGGCTTTGTAGCCCAAAGGCTGGTCTCATACTTGCAGTGATTCTTCTGCCTCAGCTTCCCAAGTGCTGGGATTATAGGAGTGCGCCACCACACCCAGCTGTTTTTTTGTTTTTTGTTTGAGACAAAGTCTCACTATGTAGTTCGGGATGGCTTTTGAACTCACAGTGTAGCCCAGGCTGCCCTCAAACTCATGGTGATCCTCCTGCCTTAATCTCTCAAGTCCTGGGATTACAGGCACATACCACTATTCCTAGCTTACTTCTTCGTTTTTATAATGTCTGGAATTGCTTGGATTTGGTTTTTGATGTTCATTTCTTGGTTGTGTTTGGCATTATAAATTCAGAAGAGAAAAAGTCTGTCTACCAATTAATTGCCTGTCCATTTATTCATCCTCCTGTGTATTTTAAGATTAACTAAGAGTCTACATCTTTTATCTTACATAAAAATAATTTTATATTATCAAATATTTACAGCATAAAACTTCTAAAATACAGGGTACACTGTAGTAATATCTGAAAATGGAGAAATGCCCTGATTCAGAAAGAAATCATATAGTACCGTAAGATCTCACATATATCATTTATCCTCAAATAATAATACTTAATTTCTGGTACAAATAATAAAATATTTCATTAACATCTAGCAAAAAAAAATTATACTGTCATCATAAACCCATTTAAAAATTTATAGCAATAACAGTGAAAGGATTTCCAGCTAGATTTTCATTTTATAGTTTATGTAAGTATAAACCTCTTTAAATTATATATTCTGGAAAGTAGCAAAGATTTTAAGGTATTTTGCTATGTATAACCAAAACAGGTAGAGCAAAAATTAGGTAAAGTGACTTAGTGGAACAACAAATCAAGAATCAATAATGGGAGAACACTATTTTTTTTAAATAAAAAAAATGAAATATCCAGTTTTCTAATTCTCAAATTGAAACATTTTTTGATACATGCACAGGTGCACTGACACACAAGATATAATCTTTTCATTTGTTTGATCAGCGATACCTGCTGTTCAGCTTCTACTTGTTCTTTCTTATATAAATACACGTAACAAGGCTGGGCATGGTAGTACATACCTATAATCCTCGCACTCAGAAGGCTGAGGCAGGAGAATCGCTGTAAGTTTGAGGGTAGCCTGGACTATATACTGTGTAAGTTCAAAGCCAGCATGAACTACATGGCAAGACCCTGTTGCAAAAACAAAGCAACAACAAAAAGAAACAAGTAACATAAACTTTTTTTTTTTTTTTGCTTTTTCATTTTTATCGGTACCGGGGATCGAATTCACAACCACCTGCTTGCAAGGCAGGTGCTTATGCCGCTGAGCTAAATCCCCAGCCCCTTCAAGTAACATAAACTTTTTAAAAAATCTATTCTTCCTGTGTATTTCAATACATAAATTTCTGATAGGCATTTCCCCATAGTCATATAATCTAACAGATTAAAAAAAAATGTTGTTCCACATTAAGCAGACTGATATAATCTAAAAATACTTGATTGATTAGTAATAGTTTTAATAAGCAGGTTAACAAATCATGGGAAAACTGGAGGTTGAAACCTACTACTTTAAGAACTATTTCTACAGTGTTTCCAGAAGTATAGGAGTTTAAGAGATGGACTATAAAAATACAAGATATAATTTCATTTCCAGATATGTGTGGGTTTTGCATTATTGGCAATCCTGACTCACATGTTAAAGTAGAATTTACTGTTAGTGTAAGAATATACAAACAAAACTTAACTTTCAAAACAACAGTGCTGGACCTCTTAGGAGCTATTGTGTTTTCAAGGAACCCTACAAGATAGGACTCAGCTGGGGCATCCTCCAGGGTTTTCAGAGACTTCCACCACTGTGATGGAAGCACACAGCTTTCATTTTACAGGCCAGAAAAATTCAGCCTGAAGTGCAACATGGGTAACTGGTGCTCAAAAAGGAAGCATCCATAACGCCTGCTAAGAGCGAGATCATGAGTTCAATTCCTAGAACCCAACCGCCAAAAAGGAAACATCATTGTGTATACTCTTTTACAACATGCCCAAAATTCATCACATCTGAGCCTTTAGAATATACCTAAATGAGAAATTTGCTAAATTCACTGTATACCGTGTGTACAGTGACGTTCTCTGAAAAGTAACAAAAGGGGTCCAGGGTTGTGGCTCAGAAGCACAGCACCTGCTCAGCAATGCAAGGTCCTGAGTCCTGAGTTTGATACCTAGTACCAAAAAAATAAATTAACAAAAGAAGTTATTGCCCTTCTCTCCCGAAAGAATGCTGAAGCTCTATCCTAAGAAAGGAACACTACAGATGGTTCAGCTCTTATAGAAACAAGTGCATAGTTTTCCCTGGCTCTAAAAGGTGATTTTACTGAAAAGTTGACTAGGCTCTTAAATCAACTAAATTTTCTGGTTGGTAAATGTAAATTTTTTTTTTTTTTTAAAATACTGCCTAACTCAGCTCTTGCTACCTTTTTTTGGCAGTGTTTCAACTTAGAACAGCTATCAGTCACCTAAAATTAATGAACCGTCCTCAAGAGAAAACACCATAAATTGCATATTCTGCAAGGTAAATGGGAATCAGAGTAATAACGTAATTTTTAAAAGATACCATTTGTTTGTTCTTTTCTGATTTTTGTTTTGATTGGTTTTTTTGAGACAAGGTCTTGCTATGTAGTTCCGTTTGGCCTTGAACACGCCACATAGCCTAAGCTGGCTTCAAAAACTTGTATTTCGAGGGCTGGGGGTTTAGCTCAGCGGTGTAAGTGCCTGCTTGGCAAACGTGAGGTCATGAGTTCAATCCCTGGTACCAAAAAAAAAAAAAAGACAACAACAAAAAGCAACTCAACTCATATTACAATCCTCCTGTTTCAGCTTCCTGAGTGTTGGGATGACAGGCGTGCACCACCCTGCCCAGTGACACCATGTGTTCTTATATAGTCCCACAGTCAGTCTCACATATATGGAACATACTAATCAAATGTCACCCTGAAGACATACTCAGCAAAATAGAGGGATTGGAAAAGGGAGTGAGTTCTGTGGGATCAACTTTGACTAAACACAATGTGATGGAGTAAGACTCAATAACTTAGACTACTCAACCTGTTACCCTGTGCCACGAACTGGAGCTTGCCTATTAGCTTTTCTACTTACCAACATAGATAGCCACCAAATACTGCTTGAAAAAAAAAGAGCTGCATCCATATGTACAACAGAAAACTAGAATGATTCATTAAACAGCTGTATTCTGGGCCAGAACCATGCTTTTTGAAAATGAAGGGAACTGAAGAAAATAAATACAGCCCAGGGGATGCTAAGAAGAAATTCAGGAAGAAACATTACAGAGCCGCACAAAGAGCACTAAAAAAAACTAGATAACTTTACATGCTAATCTAATAGTGTAATTTCTGTTCTATATAACTTTCTCAGGAAAAGCACCCCAAAAAGTGAAACAGAAAAGAAAGAAAAATAAGTAATAAAGCAGGGGAGGGATTAAAGAGGAAGGGGGAGAACAAGTGGGACCTCAGGGAAGGGGAAAGAGAAGTTCTTGTTAAACCTGTGAAGAATAAACCCAAAAGCGAATCTCACTAGATTTAAGAAATACATCAATACCCTTTTAACAAATACGATAAAAAGGAAATGTTGTCACTTTTCTCTTGGGAATTAGGTACAAGAAAAATGATGGCACAATTCCCTCTTTTATCATGAGAACTGGCTCCTTAGGCCCTCAAGTGTGTATCCCGTGAATTCCAGCAGGTAGTCACCAATGATGGATGCACAATTTCTTGGCATTAGAGCTAATCTACCAATAGAATAGAAAGTAAATCAAAGAGCAGTTGAAACCAGATTGCACAGTATTTGATTTGATTGTTCACTAAGCAGAAAAGCCAGTATAGCTGGTTCTATATCCATCTCTGGCAAGTTTTTGAATACTTTATTACAAATAAATCAATCTTGTCTTAACAATACTATCATTGTACAAATGTAAGATGAAACAGTCCTAAATTAATAAATCTCTAGGAACTGAGTTTTTCTTAAAAACAGTAATTACAAGCTGGGTGTGGTGGCACACACCTGTAATCCCAGCACTTGGGAGGCTGAGGCAGAAAGA